TAGTAACCCCATTACTAGCCTCTAACCCACCCTGGAAAAAAGCTGAGAGGTATTTGATTTAATTTAGGGACTAGAATCAAACACTTATTATTTTCAATGTGGAAATTCTTTTACACTATAATGACCTGAGTTGTGTATAACCATTCCCTCACCAAATAAACTAATAATAACCAATAACCAAATAGTGCAATGTAAACTTTGTTTACATTGCACTATAGTATGATATAGTATACATGGCTTATTATTTGAAAGGTAACATATAAGGTTATACTAAATATTAATAGAATGATCATACTATGATAATGTAGCACTGACCAGGAACATTGTAAAGGTTAAACATTTTAGGGAAAAAATATCTATTTAGATGTTTTTACCATTCAATAATTGGCACCGGACCAGCACTAGGAGGAGAAACATTGGCTTGATTCATGCGTTTTATGTGCATTATCAGTAATCGTGCATTTTAATGTGCTGTCAGGCTCCATTCACATCTCGCCATACTGGGAACGCGTGTCGTGTACGTGCATGTTTTTTCTTCTGCGTCCCCATTGATTTCAATGGGTTGCCAAATGCGCAGCAAATGTGTGGGGAAAATGCAGGTTTTCAAGTAATGGCACCGCAAGTGCGTTGCACGTTTTTGACGTGAGCACACGTCAAAGGATGCTTTTTTCCCAGCGCTTGGCACACATTCATGGAGTCCCTAGGTACGAACAGGGACTCATTGGGGGGAATTTATCAAAACTGGAGCAGACAGAATCTGGAGCAGTTGGCCATAGTAACTAATCAGCATCTATCTTCAGTTTGTTCAGGTAAGATTTGAAAATGAGACAGAGAAGCTGATTGGAGTGCAAATCTGCTCCAGATTTTGTCTGCTCCAGTTTTGATAAATTCCCCCATTGTCTTTTTTTTAGGCTCCGATCACACAGGACGATCTGGCATGCCTGCTGCAAGAACCTACAGGTTCCAGCAACAGGAATGCCAGGTGTCCAGCATGGTTAGCTGCTGGAACGCACTGGATTCCATACTGTTCAGCTCCCTGATTCTGGGGGAGGGAGCATGGCAGTGCATTCACGTCAATGGGACCGCAGCCACACACCCCCGATCGCCCACACTGGAACACGTGGCACAGCAATGCCCACGTTCTGGTGCAGTGCAATCACAAAAAATGGTACAAGCAGGCATTGTTGTGCCACGTGTTCTGGTGCGGGCGATCGCACTATGGGCAGGGGGGCGTGGTGGTGCATTCAAGTCAATAGCACCCTAGCCACACACCCTCTCTTGCCCCGGAACTCAGGGAGTCAGACAGTATGCGATCCAGTGCATTCCAGCTGGAATTCTCTGGAATTGGTGTGAACAAGCCCCCAGACGTATTAAGTATAACACTGTCCCTGAATAACATATGTCCCTGCATCTCTATCCCCGCCTCTGACCCTGCCTCCCCTCCACGCTGCTCTCTTCATCTGTTCTTCTCCCTGGTTCATTGGGAATAACACAAAGGAGATCTACAGCAGCGCTTCAGCAATCTTACCTTGTGCACTTACTGAAATGCTGCTGCATATCTCCTTTGTGTTATTCTTGATGAGCCAGGGAGTCTAACTTTTATTTTATCTATGGGGACAGGCGGGTGCATTGAATGCAAGTGATACAATATTTAGGTTTAGGTGCACACTGTTCTTGCACTTTGCTTTTTCCTTTCAATCAAAAGGCAGCTCCAAGAAAAAATAAATGGTCAGTATCAATTGAATTCTCTGCTTTGGGCACTCCAATCTTAAAAAAGGCCCTATCTATATAAAATACTAATAAAAGAAACACACAAAATAAATGAAAACCCCAAAATACCTTCATGGGAACAAAAATAAAAAGTTTACCCTAAAATAAAGTCCATATTAACATAAAATAAAACCAATATACCCCCAAAGGAAATTAAAAACCCAAAATGCCAGCCCCTGAAATAGAAGCCCATTTGCTATGGATGAAACAACAACTAAAAGCAACCACATGCCTCATATCAACCACATAATAAAATCAAAAGACAAAAAAGCCCCAATATTAAAATAAAAAAAGGCAGCAAAGAGGTCGATTAAAGCTAGCAATCAGAATTAAAGTACAGTTTTCAGCTGACCCTAATCTCTACCTATGATGTTTGTCAACTTTCCATATGCTTTGCCTACACCAACTTCAAATTCACTGACGCTATAGCTGCTCTGTGCTCCTATTGTTATAGCGAGGGGGCTGGCTTATTCAAATGGCCCTTCTAAGCCTGCTGGTCATGATTCAAAGGCCATGCAGTGATTTATAGTTTAAAAAAATCCCGGGAGAATCTGCACATATATTTGCCAGGGCCAAGAATCTAAAAACCGCAGGATTCACCTTGAACCTATGGTGGTGGAGAACCTGAATCTCATCCCTTCTATGCAGCTACTGGCCTCACTGAAATTTTTGAATGGAGAATTCTTATTGAAGATGCCCTTAGGATGTACTTCCTCAATACACTGACACAATTTCACTCAGCCCTGTGAAAGTGGACTTCTCAAAAAGCCTACCTTCTGAACTGCAACCTAACATCTGACCAATTAAACATTATCACTGCTTGCTGGAAGCACTGCTTTATGGGTTATGTAGTCTTGAGAAATTGAGATTATATCACAGCAAGCAACAGGGAAAGAGATGCAAAACACACTGGGAATCCAGGAAGTGTGTGAAAGTGATGGGCAGACAGAAGGCAGCACTCACTACAAAAAAGGGATTTTCTTTCAAGTACGCTTTAATTGCATTATCAAAAAAAACTCTAGCATGTATTTCTAGTAGAATGCTGATGTTATAAAAGGAGAGGATATGCTCGGACTTTACAACTCCTCTCTCTTACTTTATTTTGCAAGAAAAAAAGAGGCATATAATGGTCTAACAAGGTGTTTCAGTATTAAATATATTAATTTAATACCAGTGTAATGGTACAAAAGAAAAAAATGATTGCATCTGAGTAAGACTGTCTCATTGGCAAAAACATTTCTCAGTACTGGCCTATTCCCTTCCCCTTAATGTTGGTTTGATCAGGCCAGAAAAGAAGACATGACTGAGCATTTGCATGGGTAAAACTTGGCGATAATATAAATTTAGCTTAGACACCTACTCACATTAATGCCGCATGCTCTTCCACATGATTCCTCTAAATGATGTTAATATACATCCAGGCCATTAAATAAAAGAAAGAACGAGCGAGAGCCAATTTAACTAATGATGTATACTATTAACTTATCACAAGGTCATCAAATAAAAGCCGTCATTCAAACATTATTTAACTTTATTCACAGCAATAAACAACAATGCAAACACTCTGGCCGTCCTTAGAATAGGTTTTACCCACGCTTATTCCGCCTTTGATAAATTAACTGAACACTTCTCAATAATCGTGCCAGAATTCAACATAAAAAGCACTGCAACAGTGCCAAAGGTAATAAAAATTCACAATTGCTATATAAACTATGCATTCGGTGGAAACAAAATTGGAAATAAATATGTTCACTTCATCGGAAAATGCATTAAAGATTCATACAAACTGCCTTGTAATGTTTGAATGTTTAGATAGTTATGGGTAGGTGTTAAATTGTCAAGTGTTAAAGAATTCTCTGTTACTTTCACGGCTGTACGCCACCAGTGGTGAACGGCATTAGATGGGTACTCCAGATTCGCAAGGCACTGCAACTGGTAGATTTTGGTGCTGGTATCTTTTATTGCAGCACATGTAGTCTTTGGTGGCAAAAAAGAGGGGAGGCGAGTGTTCAAAGAAGGGGTCAATTTTAAAACAGAAATGGTTAGTGTTGGGTTAGTGGGGCAGTCAATGTTAGGGTTACAGGAAGGGTTAGTGTTAGGGTTACAGGGAGGGTTAGAGTAAGGGTTACAGGGTGGGTTAGTGGTAGGGTTAAAGGGAAGGCTAGTGGTAGGGTTAAAGTGAGGGTTAGGGTTGGGGTTACAGGGAGGGTTAGTGGTAGGGTTACAGTGAGGGTTAGTGTTAGAATTACATTGAGGGTTATTGTTAGGGTTACAAGGAGGGATAGTGTTAGGGTTACAGGGAGAGTTATTGTTGGGATTACAGTGGGGGTTAGTGTAAGGGTTAATGGGAGGGTTAGTGTTGGGGTTACAGGGCGGGTTAATGTTAGGATTATGAGAAGAGCTAATGTTATGGTTACATGGAGGGTTAGTGCTAGGGAGAGAAGGTTAGAGTTAAGATTGAAGCTACAGGGAATGTTAATGTTATAGCTATAGGAAGGGTTTATGTTAAATATATAGGCAGTGTTAGGGTTGCAGGTATGGTTAATATAAGGGATACAGAGAGGATTACTGTGAGGGTTACAGGGTTAGTGTAGGATTGCAGGAAAGTATAGCATTAGAATTACAAGGAGAGCTAGTGCTACGTTTACACGGAGGGTAAGTATTAGAGAAAGAGGGTTAGTGTTGGAGCTATAGGGAGTGTTAGTGTTGAAGTTAAATGGAGGATTAGTGTTAGGGATACAGGGACCGTTTGTGTTAGGTATGCAGGGAACATTAGTGGCAGGGTTATTGTTAAAGATTCAGGAAAGCTTAGGGGCTTATTTATAAAGATGAGCCATAAGGAATGGACCATAAAATGTAGGCTGCGATATGGAGTAACCCTGGAGAGTATATCCATTATATTCTAGAAGGTAACTCCTACATTTTGCAACCTATTCATAAAATGCATGCTGCAGTATGGTGCATGTGGTATCCTACAGAGTTCTGATTGTTTAACATAGAAGAGACAACTCCATGATTGAAGAAGGGTCAGTTTCATGACTTTATCAGGTCATGCGCCTGGACTCAGTTACCAGAATTTTTTTCCGCTTCTGGAATCCAAAATGCACATTTGTAAAGCACACTGAAGTGCCTCGTAAATTTGCATGTTTTTTTTCCCCTTTTTTTAAAGCAGTGGTATAGCCGCAGTAAGGCATGCATTTTCAGGTATGAACATGTCTAGCAATACCTACCTCCAGGTGGCATGGTGATGATGACAGGGTCACTGGTCACGTGACCTTGGCTATTAGAAGCGTTCACAAAGGCAGTGTAGCTAGAAAAAGGAACCAGGTTATCAATGGCGACCCACTTGATATTTTCTTTACTTTGATGCAATATCCTCCTGGAACTAGAGATGTTGTAAACGGTGTCACCTGTTAAATAATAGTAAACATCAAATTATCTAAAGTCATGATATGCAGCAAGCATTATATATAAAGATGTGTGCATAGAAAAAGAATCATGCAGGGCAGAGCAACAGGTACCCTTTAACGTTGCCTTCTGCAGCCTACTACATTCAATCGTCCATTTCTCTGTTCAGACACCAGGTGTGAAGATAATATCCTGAACTTTCGTGTATGGGGATTATGGCCCCCATTTATCTAGCTCCCATGTAAAAACACTGGTCCTTGGTGATTGGCCGCTTAAACACCCAGTGCTGTCACATAGGGGAGAAGAGATAGTCCTCAGCCCTGTGTGTCCCCAGGTTCTTTTGCTCTATTCTTCCCTCACTGAACATAGTGGTGGAAGGAACGGTGAGTATGCTGGGGAAGCCAATGCTATACTTCTATATGTGTCTCCAATAGGCAACAAAAAAAGAAATTGAAGTGGATTTACATCCACACGGGTGAAATACATATATATTGACTTTTAAATTAGTTAAGCCAGTCTTCTGATCCAGGAGCCTCTGCAACAATGAAGCATGGACAATAAATGCACTGATTCCATTCTAGCTTCCTTCTTTGCTTTCTGGTCAAGGGACAGTAGATGGCAATGGCAGTGCAATGATGCATGCTGCACGGGGTGGAGGAGGCGAGGTGACAAGGGAAGATAGAAACCTGAACCAGGAAATAGGGATCTCACCTAACTGGCTGCACAGTGTGGTAGATGTGACTGGCTGTACATAATTACAAATTGTTTTAGGAGTTAAAACAGTTGACATATATGTAGTCAGCTGTGTATTTAGCAGTTTTCCCGGAGTTACACTTTGAAGCCACTCCTTTGCCAGAATTAAAATGAAAAAAGTGCCCCTTACATAGAAGAAAGTTCCAATGTACTTGTTCATACCTAAAGTAATGCTTGCACAGCTACTATGGCTGGAGTATATTTAGCATTTAACATACTTGTGCATGTGTCGGATGCAAGGTTTCCCCCTGCATTCCACGGTTCAGTCGGCCAGCCCCTGCATCAATATTGTGACCTGTAGTGACATAGGGGTCTGCAGGATGAACCACAGAGCGAGAGAGAGGGGAACAAGCATGTTACCCGCCTGTTGGTGTCACATTCTGAAGACTCTTCAGGCAGCTGTATCTCCAATACAGCACAAATCAGCAATGGGGGTGGAGGAAGAGCTGAGTATGAACTCTCTTTGTAGGTGCACATTATTTTTCAGTGATAGGGTCACTTTTGACATCTGTGTCAGACCTCCAGGCCTAACACATGAATCCACACTTTCCTCATGGCCCCCAGTTCTGGTTACTGTCACATAAAACTATTTAGGATGCACTTTGGAATTCTGCTTAGTAAGGGTATGATCTAATGGTGCATATGACTGAAATTGGGACCTGGGTACAGGATAAAAACTGGAGCAGCAAGAATGAACCCACACAGACATGGGTGACGCACAGGAATTTCTGTAAAGTTATTACTTAGGAACCATGCCCAGGACTCTGGCACTGGAAGACAGGCTCGCTAACCTCTAAGCCAATGTATAACAATGTGGTTATACCTTTAACACACACGCAGATTGAATAAAACTTTTTTTTTTAGAACTGCTATCACATTTAAAGCAGTTTTGTCTGGAACAGTTGTTGCAAAGTTCCATTACCGAGCTCAGGCATTATGCAAATGAAGATTATCTCTTTTCTCTATTGGTGTTCATAATTCATGGATGCCAATAGAGATTTTGGGCTCTCTGGGGAGACTCTCAGCAAGGTAGCCAAGGCAGACTTAGAGGATGAAAATCCATAATCAAATATCTAGATTGATTGTGTCACTTGCACTTCTATTGATTTGAATTGGGCTGGCTGACCTGAGAGAATAATAGAAGTGTGACTAAAACTGATTTATGGGTATAAAGTATGTCCTCTGTTGAATGGTAATCAAACTGTATGGTTTAACTCTTTCAGGAGGTTTATAAGACTGATTAATGAAAAGCAGCAAAGGAAAAGTGTAGTAAAAGTGCAGCTATTGTACAAAGCAAACTGTCAGATCGTGTCTTTCAGCTAAAAAAAAAGGAGTTGTGCCATGGCAGTATAAGACCAATACAAACAATTACACCTTTACATGAGGACACCTTTCCTTCCCAACAATCTCTATCTGAGCAGACCTGAACCCAGAAACAAAGACATAGCTCTCTCTGCTTCATGTCCAGATAGAACAAGTGATCATTAATTTCGCCAATGATCTGGCAAAGCCAAAGCTGCAGGATGGATTGTTTGCCATGAATTACCAGCTAGTGAACTAGTAAAGGGGTGTTTTCCCATTCAGGGAAAAATAACAATATCTGCACATAGCCCACACCCCAAGGAGAATATACTTACACTGCAAGAACCTCCACCACCTCCCCACTGCAGCATCCCACCTGTCTATGCCCCAGTATTTCGTTAACATGAGAGTGTTCATGGCTGGCGATTGGGTGCTCAGGACCAAAACAGAAGTAACATGATCCCCCGCACCTGAATGCCTGGCTCTGTTAGCGAGGGTGCAGTGGTGGTAAGGGAGTACGTCTCAATAAGTACACATACCTGGGAAACTGTCACTTTGCCTTAAATAGTGGCAAAAACTGACAGTGTCTTTTTAACAGTACCTATCCGTATACTTTGCTCTGTCCCCTACTCTCGCCTACCTATGTTCCCTTCTAATCTGGACCTTTTTCAAATAAGGGTGATTATATCATCATGGGTGATTGTGTCATATGACCATAAGTCATGCAATCATCATTCAAGTGATCACCTATTAGCCCTTTCACTTGATGACTATAGATCAGCAGAAGTGGGAAGGGGATCAGCTTCAGATCAGCAAGTTCAGGTAAAATTATTCCATCATTGCTAGTTGTAATAATGTCTTCGTGGAATGACGTTTGGCTTTCATTGACACAATACCAATTCCAGAGCACGGAAAGTTCAGTAGCTTTTAGCAGATCATAAGCAGGACAGCCTAAACCGCAGAATAGGGTACAAGGTGGCTAAGGGTTGCACACAGCCACCCACAAATTAGGTTCCTGATTAGGTCTGTATGCCTTGAACCAAACTGCCAGCATAATAGGTTTATAGCTTGTCCTACTCTTCCAGTCTATCTGTGTCTATGTGGCTATAAGGTCCAAGCTATATAGGGTCTGTTTTTCAGCACAAGAACAGGTGCAGGATAGTTTAAATGAGCTTTGTATCCCTAAGGAGCTATTTAAATCCCATTGCACCCTTAAAAACCACCCAATACTCACATTCCCAATTGTCTGTACAGTATTTGCCAAAATGGTGAAATTTCCCTGAAAATCTCCCAAATTTTGACAACATTTCAGGGAAATCAAAAACCTTTTATTTTGATCATCCCTGTTGAGGATATTTTGGTAACTCACAGGGGTTGATTTACTAACCTTATAAACACACCACGAACGTGTATACACCTCTGCAGTGTGTTCCCTCCCAGCATGATCTATGGGTGGAATCTAAACACCTTTGTAATGTGTACACACCCAGCAGGTGTGTTGTGCAAAGCCCTGAAGGAATTCCAAGGTGATGTTGGGTAAATTAGCTCTATGTTGTGTTGCTTGCGTTGATGAATGCAAGGAATGTAAATGCATGAGCTAACCATTTTTGTCTAAACTGTGAAGCAGCATTATATATGCATCATGTGCATGATTTTTCCATATATGGCATTAGTGGAAATATGCTTTTAGAGACTTTTTGGTTGATAAATACGTTTTGCTGTGTGAAAATCACACACACCTGGTGTGTGTGTGTGTTTAGGTTAGTAAATCACCCCCACAGTCTCAGGATTATTGCCAGATCCCAAAACCTGACATTATTCTGAGGACTGGTTAGCTATAACCTCCTGGATATGACTACCTTTAGACTTTTATTAGTCATAATCCATTTTGTTGGTAACAACGGCATCCATTGAACGTAAAAACCATCTACCTTTTTTGCTAAATTTTTATGTCACCCTCCTACAGGGTCCAGACAAATAAGTCTAATTCAATCCCATTAACATCTCCAGCCAATTAATTTCCTATCCTTCCTTCACAACCTTTTCCCTTGTCAAGTCTTGTCATCCCATCGAGTTTACCTGCTGCTCAAATTAGCTAACCACATCGTAAAGATGAAAGAATATGCCTTCTTCCCCAACCCCCCACCCTGTCGGTTTTCCCACCGCTAAAATATGCACAGAGTCCATTCTTTATAACCATCAGGAGATAAATGACTGGTTTTCCTTACTGAAGAATATATAATGGTTAAAAAGTCACTTTTTTCTCCCAGCTCTACATAAATCACAGAACTAGTCAATATTTAATAATGCTTGCCTTAGACCGGAGTCCCTTGATCACCCCTGTCATGTGTAATAGCTCCCTCTTCGATGTCTTTGACATAAAAGCTTGGCTTTACTGCAGTACTAACATGTAGAGGGTCATTACAGATCGACATTTACCTTAATCTGTGACTGCCAACCATGAACCGATAAATTCCAGCAGATTCCGCTGGGACAAATCAGTAAAGTTCTCAGCGGAGAGAAATCAAAGAAAATTCTGCGGAGAACAGAATACATTTTCTGCGAGGGCTGCTTGGCAAATGGGTCCTGACTTTTTGAAAGTTCTTTTGCTGCACAAGCTGGCAACATTTAGTGTTATGTTGACAACCTGACAGACAGATCGACACTCAGTGCTGACATGTCGGAGGAGGCGATGTGGAAACAATGCCACATTAAAAGGGAACTCCAGAAAAAAATTAAGCCCATTTCAGGCAAGCAGTAAAGTAATCACCCAACCTCTCTCTGCTTGTCTAGATGTCACCACAGGGTCTAATTGGATCCAGTACTTGAGGCCACTAGGGGGAGAGGTCTGCAGGTTGGCCTACATGTGATGCAGCTGATGGAGGCTCCACATGCTATCATGCAGCATGAGGAGGAATGGATTACATTATAGGAGCACAGAATTGCCCCATCGTCGCTGCATCGCTCAACAGGACAACTATCACATAAGTAAAGTGGGGTCCCTCTAATGTCTACCTGTGATACCACTGCCATCATGACGTAGCTCTAGACTTGCTGGGGTATTCCCTTGATGCCCAGACCACTGAAGGAGCTAGAGGACACTGTTCATCTTCCAGCCCAGATGTTATTCAGTGGCCATGGGCTGAAGATCAGAACTGCACTCTTTTTATGTGGTGAGCAAGAAAAAGGGAAGGCTGCATTTTACTAGAGACATTAAAGCTCAGTTTAAATAAAAAGTGAGACTACAGTTAGGCTTAACGTTTGCTCATTCTCTGCAGCTTGTCTTTGGTGTTGGCCATGCCTCCATGCTATAGGGTTGTATAGAGATGACAGGACCTCAGTAGATGTGGCATTGTGGTCATGTCCCAGAGAGCATCCTTAAGCTGAGGAAAACCTTCCCAGCATGCTTGGTGGAAGGAGAAATTTAGGGCTGAGCTGGGGGGCATGGAGAGAAAGGAATAATTTACAGAATACACAGGATTATGCGAATGCCTAGGGAAGAGAGGTGCAGATAAACAACACTAAATCTTCCATCTATGAGACCAGTAGCTCTCATTTCTGAAGTGAGCTGGAAGTACAGAGCAGAGCAGTGATCTGGCCATGGTATATATACCTTAGCAGAGGTAACATTTGTTCATACACCACAAATTACAAAAATCCCTGTGCTTGGTGTTGTGCTTTAAGTTCTTCTTTTAACGTGGTGAATATTATTTTAGCAGTATTCACCCTGTTGTATGATTGGATTTGCCCGTCTTTCCACTTGTCCAGCAAAAATGGAAAATATATATTTTTTTCCTTTTTCGCTAAATCTATTGTCGCTCTACACCTCATAATCTTACAAGTGCTTCACAGCAGCACACATCAAAGTCTTCATTGCATAAAAAAGGGGACATGGCAAGCTTTGAAAGAGGTCAATAGAGACTGCCTATCATATATTCAACTCTTTGGCACATATGCTTCGAAAAATGGTACACAAAACGGGCCTTTTCATGACATTCTTTGGGGAATGGAGCACAGACTGAGCACAGTCTTCTCTGGTTTAAAACAGAAGAAAAGGAAAAAGAAGAAAAAATAAAAGTAATACAAATGGGCTTTTGGTGAAAGGTGAAATGTTACACTTGGCTTTTGCTGTTGTGAATTCACTTATTGGATGTGTGTTGCTGTTACAGAAGAGATAATTGTTTAGAAAATGCCACTTTCAATAAATGTGAATTTGTGTGTTGATAATTTATATCTGTCTGTGTCCCCATTGCAAGTTAACTTTCACTTCCTGTTGACAATATGGACACCAGGGCAGGAAGTGAGGGTTAATCCCTCTCCACCCCCGAAAACAACTTTTTTGTGGATTTGTTTTTTCCATTTTTAATTTTAAAGAGCTGGTTACCTGGATTGACTTAGGCAACTTCAGTGCTTCTGATGTGAGGATGAATTACTCCAGAACTACAGCAGCTACATTGAAGGCTTGTTTTAAAGGTATTGTTCTGGCTGCTAAGTATTTGTAAATACTTGCATGTCTATAGCCTGGCCACCAGTTCACTATCTGCTCAACTCTGCCCCATACAGATATCTCACTACTTTCTTTGAAAAAACCTTCAGGCTACCTATTGTCTAAATCAGGGTAGCAAACATCCGGCCCTCCAGCTGTGGAGAAACTACAAATCCCATGATGCATCTCTCTTCGGGAGTCATGTCTGTGGCTGTGAGAATCTTGCAATGCCTCATGGGATTTGTAGTTCCACGACAACTGGGGGGCCGGAGGTTTGCTACCCCTGGTTTAAATTAATATTTTTAAAAAGCACAACAAAATGCTACCAGTAATTCTAATAATAATACAAATGATGATGTCTAGGACATTGTAACTACCTTCTATTTCATAGAACAGGCCACTAAAATGTATATCGTAGGTCATGTGGCCATTGGGCTTTTCGGGTCCTTCCCATGTCACCAGAGCACTTCTTGGGCTGTTGATGGTTGAATAAAGAAGAATAGTTCCCTCTGGCTTGGTCTCTTGGGTGTGGGCTTCAACCTGTGAAATAACCAAAGGAAAATGTCAACTCAGAAAACATTTACAGCAAATGTACTGAATATAAATATTCCAAATAGACAGAAATCATGCAGATCGTAGCAATGAGAATGTGTGCAAGAAGCAATTTTCTTGATTGTAGTGTCAGTTTGCATCAACAGAATAGACCTTGATGAGACAATGCTATATGATTAACACTTTCCCTGCCACCAACTTAAGATGTATGGCAGAAAAGTAGGCTTTCAGCTGGCCAGGTCAGAGTGTTCACAGCCATTGATTCAAAATCTGGTGGTTCCCCTAACCCCTTTCTGCTGACATTACCAATACCAACACTCTGCACTGTCCCTGCTTGTCACTAATTCTCCCAGATGGTTGCTGGCAATTTGTTTTGCTCTATGTCCCCTATAATCTCTGCTGCTCTCCCTCAGTCTGTCCCGGCAGAGACAGCAGGGATTGGGGGGGGGGGGGGGGGAGAGTGGGGTGGTGTGATGGGGGGGATAGTGGGATGTCATGGCGGAAAGGAGAGGGGGGGTGGGGGGGGGGGGGGGGGAAGAATTGCAGTGCAGTCACACAGTAGGGAGGATCGAGCGGATTATGACAAGTGGGACAGTGGTACTGGATTCAGGATGGTAAATATGTGTCACATTTGTGTAAATATGTGTGTTCCTTCACACTTTCATTTCTGAATGACCACCAGAGTCATCAGTACTGATGACTCTGGTGTTCATTCATAACTGAGGAGATAGTAAACATACTACGTTTGTGAATGTGCAGGAAGCACTCTGTAAAGTGTTCATTGAGTGCTGGTGGTAAAGAGGAGAAGAAGGTTAGGGGCTCTATGTCCTCAAGCTCTTTCTCCATTTCAAAGGATGGAGATCTAATTTTACTAAAGCTCTTGTCTGACAGTAACATTTAAAAATAGTTATAAAAATCAAAAGAATAAAAAAAAGAAATAACCCCCGTCCACACACAACATACATGTGCACCAGTGGACATGCATTGTGGTACATATAACACACGTGTTATGCAGTGTGTTGCAGCAACACATTCCAGTGCTTTTTAAAAACATTTTAATACAACATTCATTCAATTGTATGCGCAGCAGAGCATTACATCACATTGCCATGCATTGTAACATGCTGCATTGTGATTAGATGTACAGTATGTCTGCATCATTTTATCATAATGCACACTAACACAGCACACATACAGCACGGCAGATGAAGGGTTACCACAATGCAGAGATGTGAGGCCAACCGCAAAATTTTTTGCATAAGTTACTTATTTACAGTTTTGTGTACCTTCGATTTCCACTGTTTTGCAGCAAAGGTGTAATTCAATATTTACAAATATTTTGGTAAGAATTTTGTAAGTTATATTGTTTTTGTGTGTGATGGTAATTCATTTTAGTGGACCTACATAATCAGTAACACCATCAATTTATGCTACCGACCCTGTATTTTCAGAAGATGGTAGATTTGGTGGGTCTTTTACAAACTCTGAAAGCTGTAAGAAAAAAATTATAAAAGTAAAAAATTGCAAAAATTGCCTAGGCACCTAAACTTAACAGAGGAGCACAGGGCCTGGCAGTGCAAGGTTTGGTTAAACACTGCATTGGTACATCAACGTGTGCTGATCTTTGTGCAGGGATTGGGAGTACTAGCATAAATGTTAGTGTGGAACAGTACCTAAGCTTTTCACATCTACAAAGTGCATATAGATTGTAAAGTGCTACGCTAATGTTAGGGTTAGTGTTAGGGTCAGGGTCTAAGGGAAAAGATCACAGGCTAAGCTAAAAAATCTGGTATTTCCCCGAACTTTCTGTCTTGGTGACATTCACTAGGACAGATTGGTGAATCACTCAGGGACTCAGAGAGAATAAAATCCTTGCAGAGTATATATCTTTACCCCACTCTTTCCTCTTTATAGAAAAAAAAGCATTTACAAACAGTTTTAGTTTTATGGCTTCAGTAAGGTTTGGAGGACCTGTTCATCCAAAAATGTCATGTTGATTACATATGGAGCCTAGTGGGCTGAATCAGCCCCTGGTATTTTATATGTCTCAGATGCTAAATCACACTCTCATACTGTATTTCCCAACTTTATTCCTCCTAAATTGGAAATCTAGAGTGTTCCCATCCTTCTCTGTGTGTTCCAGGTACACATGTTACATTCTCTATCAAAGAAACAAACAGAAATGCATAATGAATGTTAGAAACCCCTCATAATAGACCCGGGAGCTCAGCCCAAAGATCTTATCAACAGAGCCCCCAAGAGATAAAATAAACTGGTGGTTTACCTTTCCAACATCTACTTAACACTGAATAAAATAGGTGACCTTTCCTTTGTACACGCAGGGCAAAGTAAAGGGGTCATTTAACTACACCCTCAATAGCAGCATGTACCCCCTTTTCCTCACTTCTATTACTGCTGTTTGGTCACTGGCACTGTGGAACAATAGCCTTGTGTAGGCTTCAAACTGATTTGTCTGAGCTTGCACAGCACTATGGACTCCTGCAACCTTTTCAAGTGACATCACTGTGCCAATCATGAAGCACGAGTGCTGTACATGGCAGAGGGGTAGTGAGTCACGTGATCCTCCATACCCAGAAGTACTGGGTATTACACTTTGCTCCTGGTGGCTGAATGGCCCGTAGGGGGAGTAAAGGAATATGGAGTATGTTATGCTGGTGAACAGGTGGTGAGAGGCTAATTTTCCCCTTTAGTTTTCACTACACTAAATTTATAACTATTAGGTATAAAAACACAATAAGAATTAGGTTAAGGTTAGGGGTCAAAAGACATAGGTCAACATTTTTTACTTCTGTTTATGGCACTGAAACTTCCTTGAGCTATTTGACAGTGGTTTGTTGACCCCAAAAAACAATGTGCTATCTTAACCTATCCTTAACACTAAAATGAACCCCTGCAACAGCATACTTGTCTTTTTTGGCACCTGAAGTACCAGGACCAAAAGCTACCAATTCCAATCCAAGATCTCAGCGCTGCAAATTAGAGATTGCTTCCAAGATCCATCATATCCTTTCCAAGATTCTGTCCATGTTTGACAACCATTACCGCTATGAAAAGTCTGTGCATATAACCTCAAGCTTTTCTCTCCAGACTGCATAAGTACAACATTTTCTTCTAATCCTTGATAACCTGTATATACACTGAGAACATCCCTCAGACTTTTATTTAATTTCCATCTTTACTCTGATGTCCTTAATTTTTTTTTTTTTAAACTTCTTACATACTTGAAGTTAAAAATGAAGACGTGGATCTGGCATTGTGCCAGGCAAGCTTTTAAGAGTAAATATTCATCAAAGTAGGCAAAGCTATAAAATGTTTAATGGTAATAAAGTGTGCATTTCTGCTCTACCAATCCGGGTGGCATGAAAAGTTGGATCTGTTTCAAAGAGCGAGATGAAACCCTTTTAAAACAGACAATTATGAGGATTTTCTTTGTAAAGTTATCTTATGAAGTCAAAACGCAGCACACGATCAGCCTGTGCGAGACTGACCACTTTCTGACCCCTTCACTTACTTTGAAAAGAAAAGAAAAAAAACACACTAAAAAAAAACACAGGAGATATTAGTAATTTGGTATATGCATTTAAAGTGGACCTGAACTCAAAAAATACGATTTTTGGAGCTACCGTCAAATCTTTTTCTTGGAGTCTATAGAAGGACACAGGAATTCTGAAACAATTGGGTTATATGCTGCTGCCCACTGGAGGTTTGGACACTGGCACACAGGAAAAACAATAAAGGCCAGTCCCCATAAAACCCAACCTCCAACAGTCATGCCTCAGTTCTGTGAGCTAGCAGTACATAGGCCAAAAGGCACAGAGAGATGGGACCTGTGTCTCTCAATGGATAGCAATTCCTGTTGTAGCACCATTGGTATTGGCAAATATATACTCCCGTGTGTTCGCCGAACACACAAACTGCTGATGTTCGAGTCGAACTCACGTTTGGCTCAAACATTGAGCCCAACACTACTCTGCAGTCATTTCTCTGTCTGCAAGCATTGGATCGATACTTGTGCTTTAAGTGTAGTGACATTGGGGCCTGGATACAAACAGGCAAATGTAAGACAGAAGCTACTGTTTAGATCTCACAGAGCATGTTGGTCATCTGTGCTCTACTTCTTACTAGGCTGCCTCTTTACAGGCCAACCAACTGTGGCAGAGACCAAGCTTTACCAGCTCAGATGGTTCTGGGTACTGAGTCCATCATCCATCGCAAGTGCATACTGATTATACCAAGTGCCCTGGCACTATATGACGGGTTGTATGATGCCTAGTTTTGTAGATGCAGAGCTGGTGTCCCTGAAAAAGTACCCAACAGGCCAGGAATTACCAACAAGCTTGAAGCTAAAAAGGAATGGTAGAGTCATATGGCTAGCAGTACTTGTCTGGGGGTAGAAACAGTTCTGAAGTTTAGCCGCTTTCAAGAAAGCTCTTCAAATGTAGGCTGGGTCTTCTTCGTGAAGCCTATGTTGTTTACACACAGGGTCATGCTGGCCATGATGCCAAGGTACTAATGAAAGCATGGTGGCAGCAGCACTGGAGCAAGAGTTTCCATAGTGGACACTTCGTTCTCAGTTCAACTCAGTAACACTGAGCCTTATAAAATACCTTTGACATGTATAGGAAAAATATGTATAGGAAGAAGGAATAGCTCAGGGTTTTCTGCCAGGCTCATACTACTGAAAGGTTTCCGTAGTGCCACACTGTTCTGCCAGTGATGTCACTAGGAAGTGACCAGCTCCTTTACAAATACTGATCGCTGTACATGCACACTTAATGTTATAGCTCCGGCATTGTCCTCAAGTTACCCTGGCTGCAGGCAGAAGTCTGGTAGCGGACCCCAGGCCACTTCTCTGGCTGTTTTGCCTCTCAACTAGTTATTCCAGTGGCCCAGAGGATGGTTGCAAGAAGGGATGGCAAAAATGGCAGCCTTAGGCAGCATACACCCCCTGCATGGCTTTATGCTTG